CATTCAATAAGTCATTACGTCTAGATGGAAGTAGAATACGTGCCGCATCCCAGAAACGGATTAATTGCTTCACTTGATCCTGTTATCCTTGCTATCAAAACATTTATACCAGCAAGAACCAAACTCAGTTATCCCGCTTGCGAATATGTTCGGAGACCTAGACCCGATGAAATCAGTGAGCATCATGCTGGTTTTTGAAACATTGCTCCCTGAGGAGGCCGTCGAGATGTTTGAACAACTGGTGATCTAGTGGCTGCTGGAGAGTTTCGCAGTCTATGAAACTCGTCCACTCCCTTTGCTGTAAGCTGTATGACGTGGAGCTGATTGGAGAACTAATGAGGAGAGGAAGTTCATTCCTGTCCAAGCGCTGACCAAATGCTTTCTGGTTGTCACATAATCATCATTTCTCATCACATGTCACAATACGAATTAGAAGTGCGTCGCTAAGCAGGCCGGAGGAGATCTTGAAACCCTTCTGGTTGAGAACTAATTCGTGAGACGGCTAATTATGAGGCTACTTCGACTCTCCTCTCCTTACATGTGGGTACAAGCAGCTTGAAAGCTGCTTCAATCTCGGTGCAATGTCCGTAAACGTTGCACGCGGATACTCTTTGAAATGCTCTCATGTGTTCGTTCGTTGCCCACATCCGCTAGCCGTTCATTCACCACGGCACGTTCGCTCGCCTTCAAGGCAGGGTTTCAGACATCGTTGTGTGAAGGCACGTGAAATGCGGGAGGGGGGGGGGGAGAAGGTCGTTTTGGTCGTTGTTGGGAGAGGGGAGGAGGGTCGCTATGTGATATGACTAGAAATTTGCGCTTTGGACAGAATAAGATCGCTCACCCCCGTCCTCCGCGGGAAATCTCTGGGTGAAAAACTGGAAAATGTGGAAAATTAATAGGTAGGTGCTGGGGAAGGGGAGGGGAGGGGGTCGTACGGAGCCCCTCATTCAGGTGGGGGGGGTCGTATCAAAACCCTGGCCTCCAGAGGGGGGGCGTACTGGCACCATCATCTCACACATCACGATGCTGTACCCTGCTTCAAGGTCTATCGGCGGTACAGAATCCCTTGAATCACCACAGCACAATATGCTCCCTCTAGGACCAAAAGTTTGCTGATTTATCGCTGAATTCGTAGTCCCAGGCGCTCTTGCAGCTTTCCCACACAATTTGAATTAGATTGGAAAAACTGTGGGAATCTGACAGTTGTTTTGGAACGTTTGACTCAGTAGCACAGAGAGAACAGCATTTGAAACTGAGGTAGGGAAAAGGCCAAAAACTTTCTCCACAACCTAATAAAAAGAGAAATATGACTAAGAGATACTCAGCAAAACGGACAAGTAAGAAATAAGAGACTCGAAAATCACTGGGAAATAAATGAAAGGATGTCACTCAATGAAGGAAAGAATTCGTTGTGATGACAAATATTTATAGAGCTTCGTGTGGGCAAGAGTTTCAAGCGCAAATGAAGTTCGTGATGACAGGGTACAGCATCGCGATGTAGTGATCTGAGAGGTGGTGGTGTAGGTACGACCCCCCCCCTTTCTACAACAGCTACCCACAAATTTTGCACATTTTGCAGTTTTTTCACCCAAGAATTTTCCGTCTAGCGGGGGGGAGGTATATAGCCAATGCGGAACAGGATAATTTCACCAACTTCCTACCATCTTTTTCGAGTTTCCCCGAAGATTTTCCTTTTTTTCCTTAAAATTTTGCTGTCGAACGGGGAGTATAGTACACATGAAAAAGGAAAAATCACGCAAAAAGTCAACAACCGAGAAACCAATGCGACAAATTTTTCTCAAAGGCACATACAACCCCTCTCTCTCCCAACTACCAGATACGAACCCCTCCGCGGAGAAAGAATGACCTGTTTCACACGAAGATGCTGTACCCTGCGGGAAGGTCAAGTTTGCCATGGACCCGAACATGCAAATTAGCTCACAACCTGGATAACTATGGTTCTTTGAGAAGCCACAAAAGTTGTTTGTAAATTGTAGGATCGCCAGCGTCTAGACACCACAACTCCCAACGCAAATCCCACATTTGCTGTGTTTGATTGAACTGCATGTGGAAGTGAAGGATTACAACATCCAGTTGGGATGCCACTCGCGTCCAGTGCTATCGCCGTTTTTTTTTTCATTTCCACGATTCATTTGAACCAATTTCACGGAGATGAGTAGGAACATCAGCTTAATCTTACCTGGAACTGTTTGCTGTGCAAAACCATAAATCGGCATAGTAGATAAGACCGCAGAAACATCGGTACGGAAAGCAGCACATCCACGGGTACATCGACCATCTTCACGAGACGTGTTTCTGGTGAAATGAATGGCCACCGAATCGATCCCGATCCTGGAAAGCCAACGGGAGAATTTGACGTCAGGTGGATGACTAGTATGCTTATGATTCGTGCAAACGACGGGGCGGGTCAGGGGGCGGGAGTTGGAACGCAACCGGAACAGTCCTTTTCACCAATCGTGCGAGCTCGAGGTAGCACTGCTGGTGGGAAAGGCCGGTCTAGCAGCGCTAGCCCACGCCCCTGTTATACGTTCTATCGTTTGCCGGGCTTATGGCTTTAGCTGATTTGAGATGCCGTAGAAGGGTACAGCATGCGTGTGGCGATGTCATTACGACCCTCCCCCTCCCCCCAAACTCCATCCTCTGATGCAACATATGACGCCAAGTCAAACGCCGCTTCCTCCGTGTCGCAACAAGGATCTCCCGATCCACTCATTTTGTCCTACGTGGTTGCAAAGGCAATGTTTTTGGACAGTTTTCTGAGAAAACTCAAGATCGAACGTTTCGGAAACACATCAACATTCACAGTACCGGCAAAAAGATCTGGGATCAAGCCAAGATCTGCCTTTTTTAATGCTCCGAATGGCTTTATTAATCTTCATCCCACGAAACTAGAAAGTAATTTGCAGGTATTCCCTGGCATACAGTCGTTATCTCGTCGGGGCGGGAAGGGGGGGGGTCGGGTCATAGCGTGGCGCTGGTCCCTTTCGCGCCAATTATTGAACTCCCAAGGCCGCAACGATTGCTCTGCTATGGACTCGCACCGCGTCAGACCCACGCTGCGCTGACACGCCCCGACTGAGTTCAGTGGTAACGACTGCATTTGTCGAAGAAGGCCAAATTTTGCGCATAAATTGAAGGAACCTTTAAAACTTCTGATAGTTTAATACGGCTTCCCAATTGTTTTCCGCTACTGTATTAGAACAAAAAGTTATCAATACAAACAGCTTGACTAACCTGGGAATGGACAAACCGCACAAACAGCTAATTCCACAGACAACTTGACCACCCGGTCCATGCTCACAGCGACACGCCAGTCGTCGGCACCCGAGTCAATCAACGCTATTTTCACCTGGAAAAGCAACGATAAAAATGCACAAATGGTGATTTAGTTATCTACTGAAAAAATCCCAAGAGTGTGAACTCCTAAAAAACTCAGAAAACGAAAGCTAGGGTTCGGAAATAAGACGACAAAAAAAGAAGAAAAAA